TTTTCTGGTGTCTTTTAATTTTCTTCAAGAGTCACTGTTTCTGTACATGTGTTCTAGTGAACTCGTATATAAACTGGGATCAGCAGCACTGGATTGTAAAATACTGTACTGAAATTCATTGTTGAAATTTCCTTGCATTGTAATTTCAAATACTCAGGTAACTGTAACAGTATCTCAGTAAGTCAAATACTTTTATAAAACTACTTAAAGAGCTGGTAGTCTCGTTGTTATTCCTTCTGTGTTACAAAGCATCCTTGTGCAAATAAATTGTGTCTGCTCTTTTGGGGGTGAGGGGATAGGCTGTCTGAAGTTGTCCTTCTAGCAAGGTTCTTCAGGAAGGTTTCTTTCCTGAGATGACTTCTGCTATTGTTGATTGTATTGGAAATTCATTAGGAGATGCCAGACAGCTGCCTTTGTGACTGGTTAGAAACTGCAGATAAAAATTCCAGAAATTTTAGTGCTTGTGGTCCTGGAGATGCTGCCCCAAGGAGACAGGCTGCTGGCCTGTTAGCAGTGGTAGTCTGAGGGAGATGGTCTGGAGAAATGTTCTGCAGGAGCCACAGCTTTAACATTTTCTTGTACCACTATTGCAATTATAAAAAAAATGAGGTATGACTGTGCAAGTCTGTGTTTTCCGTTTGGGAATGGCAGGGTGACAGGAAGGAGGGAGAAAAAGCTCAAGTGAGACTGGCCAGCCTTGTAGTTACTCTAATCTTCCTCCTCGAAGGGAGAAATGTTTTTTACATGCTTCTTGTCATCAGGAACCTCACCTGATTGCCGTGACCTTTCGAGGATAATTGAGATCTGCTTCACAGTAACATTGGCCAGCTCCCTCAGTGCTCACGGGTACATCCCATGGGGTCTCATGAACTTGTTTGCTCAAAGGTCCAGTTTGTTCAAATGTTTCCTAAACGGATCCTTCTCCACTGAGGGGTAATCTTCCTTGCTGCAGACCTTCCCACTGGGTTTGCACTCTGCTTACTTTCCCAGATGCTCACACAGACTCAGTTAACCGAATTTTGTTAGTAGCAGCGAATCCCAAGGATGCTTTTCTATGCCAAGTAAAACATGCAATAATAATTGCCTTTTTTCTGGAGCAGGGGAGGTTGGTTTTGAGTTGCTTCCTCCATGCTTTGGATGAATCACTTAAAAGCATGCTAGTAAGTTGTGTAAACCCTAAATTTGACACTGCTTTGGGTAGTTTTATGTTAGTACAGCTATGAGCATATTTCACATAAACCTGAAGTTTAAAAAAAGGCAAAAAACCCAAAACAGAATCACAATGTAATGTGTGATAAATGTATGGTATGAGAAATGTACAACTCAGTTGCACCATTCCATTAGTTGGAATGCTATTTTCTTTTATGGTGATGTGGCTTATGTCAATACCAGTCCTGGGTGGGTTTATTGATGGTTTTTTACATGTTAAGGTGGGAGTGCTTGTTTAGTTTAAACAAAACCTTGTTTGGTTTAACTCTGATGGCAGCTGTGTACTGCTTAACTATTGACCAAATCTTACTGCCACTGGTGGGACTAGAAGTTGAATTAGTCTATGGCAGAATGACTTTCTGTAAGCACGCTTTAAAATTTACTGCTGGACTGATAAGAGAGCTTAGAATTCTAATTAATTAGGTTGCAGAGCTGTAAATATCCACTAGAAGAGACGATAGCTGTGTCTGTTGGATCCTAATGAAGGATTTGTTCCTGATGACTGAAGATGCCTGGTCACATGCCCACTCTCAACCTATCAGCTCTCCAGTAGTGCACAAATTACAGGGTTTGTTGGAGAAATCTTATGTTATCTCTGAGCAGAAACTAGTTCCTGCAGGATTTGAAGGACTGGTGAGGTTATCTGCTATGTCAAATCCTGGTTTTCAGAGTATCTTAGAGAGAAAAGAAAAATACTTCATGAGGTCATATTTCTACTTTTTATCCAACAAATACCTGCTTTCTAGAGCTGTTGGAAGGTGTTAGCTTAATGTCAGTTTTCTGCTTGCAGGGTCATAATGCTGAAAGAAGCAGCAGTCAGTTCAAGCAGGGAATGGACAATGAAGGGGGAAAAGTACCAAATACTGTCATTGTGTAGGTATGATAAGCTGCAGTTGTTTGATACAGTTTTCGAGCCTGTTAGTTTTGCCTTCAGAGTACCAGATGTCCCCGATACTTTCCAAGGGCGAGCTGAGCGTTTACCCCTTTCCTCCTGCCAGGGGCAGGAGCTACCCTTCCCCGCAGCAGGTAGGGTCTAAGAGTTTTCGCTGTCTCCTCTCTTTCAGGGGTGCACGATGCCTGCAGGCTGCCCGTGGGGCCTGGACTGACCTTCCCGCCCCGCCCCGCGCCTCCCCTTGCCTTGGGGGGCTTCAGCGGCAGCTGAGTGGGGGAGTGGGGGGTGTCACCGCTCCCCGACCCGTTTCCTTTATTCGGGGATGAAGGTGTGAGGGTTTGCGCTGAAGGTGTTTCCGCGAGATGAACGACACGACGGGGACCAAGGGCCGGGTCTCGGCGCTGCCGCCGGGCCCTGAGGGGATGGAGGGCGGGGGGGTGTTACCGCGGAAACGGCGCCGCCGCCGGCCGAGTGCTTCCG